TCAACTCTCACTCACTTCAGTTTTTGAAGTTTGAAGAAACGAAAAAAAATTAAATGGGGAGAGCCCGGGAAGGAGGGGGGTGTGCACCAGTTGCCGGGGAGCAATAGGCGTAAGGTGAATATTCTCGCATATGCTTGTTTGCTTTTATCACTAAGTAGATTTATTTTTTGTTTTGTTTTCTATCTTTAGTTGTGGTATGAAAACATAAAATACAAAAATAATAATTGTACTTGCACCTTCTTGCCTAGCTTAATGACTTTAAAGAAAGCGCTGCCTGTGAGACAACCCGGAAGTTTAAGAGAGTTTTTTCTTTGTTTTGTGTTCTAATAAAAAAATCAGAAACAGAAAAAGTGGGGAACCTAAAACATTTTCAAAAATAAGTGATTGAAATGTTATGCATTGAAGAAGTGAGGGTCGACCTTCAACACTTGTGTTCATGCTCATGAAAACACTATAAATCTTTTCTTGTAAGTTTACCATAAAAATATTTATCCCCATGTATAAACCACTATACCAAATATAAAGTACAAAGTTTGCCTTTAGGATGTTTAAATTGAATGTTTGATGTGTGATGTGCAGAAACAATTTTTTTTGTGTAGTATTTGAAGTATCATCTTTTCTTGGAACATGCTCATTTTATGGAATGTTTACACAGTACTATCATACAATCTATTTATTACATCCTAATTTGTGAAAAAATAGAATTGTGGATGTATATGTTAGAATTAATTGCTAGACTATTCTATTTAGAAGATTGTTATTATTGTTTTGTTATCTGCCTATATTTGAGTATTCATGAATTATATTATAAGATATAAATTATGAAAATGATGGTATACAGAAGCTAATTTTTGAAAAAAATTATGCATATTTTCTTGGGATAAGCGATATATTTTTATGTGTACTAACGTCTCTAATAAATCTTGCGAAGTTCTGTATGGATGATGTTTTTAAGACTCAGGGGAAATAGCGATATGAGAGAAAGTTGGAGAGATGAAAGAGCTCAAGCTTGGGGATGCCTCCCCAAGAAATTATTTGAAGAGGTCTCAAGCTCCAAGCTTGGGGATGGCCCGATATCCCCTTCGTCTTCTTGAACAACTATCGATATGTCTGGTTGAGCCTATGTTTTTATTTATTCACATGATATGCGTAAATTCTTAGAGCGTCATTTTTATTTTTGTTTTGAATAAACAAACACATGATGGTTGGGGATGATTTCTTTATGGTTCTTGGTTGATTTATAGAATGCTCCATGCACTTCACTTATATCTCTTGAATATAGCTTTATAAAATGCTCTTCGCGCTTCACTTAGATCTTTTGAGTTTTGCTATTTAAAGAAAACTCAATTTGCCTCACTTATATCTTTTGAGTTTGGATATTAGTCTCTCTATATTTATGTTATTTGTAGAATGCTCTATGAAATTAACTTATATCTTTTATAATATGGATGCAATTATCTTTGAAAGTGGGTTTGAAAAGGTCAACTTTAGATATTATTGATCCCACTATTTCTGAGGGTGACACAGTTCATGTGGATTGCATTATATCTTTTATATGCAGTTTTCTAATAGTAATTTGTTAAGCATTGTATAAGTATGATGATTATCTTAAAATTGGGGTACCTAGTCATCATCTCTACTTCATTGGTTGCTTTATGTCTGCAATATAGTCCTGAAAGATTCGTGAGATACTTCATTACCACTTTATAATATGTTGAACTTAATGTAGTGATGCTACTTGTTATTAGAATTATCATTGCCTATGTGATCAAAGGTTTGTTCTATTCTAGTATTCATACTTCAAAATTTATTCCTTTTATCATCTACCTACTCAAGGACGAGCAAGGATTAAGTTTGGGATGTTGAGGCCAATTTTATAATTTTGGAAGCAATTTATATTATGTTGAACTTAATGTAGTGATGCTACTTGTTACTAGAATTATCATTACCACTTTATAAAAGTATTCATGCTATGTTCACATCTTTATTTATAATTTTGGAAGCAATTTATATTATTCATTGGACTAACATATTAATTTAGTGGCAGAGGCCAATTTCTGTTTTCTAGTGTTTTTAGCTTTTCAGGAATTTATCCAATTTTCGCCTACATCTCCAGTTTTTTCTGGCATGCTAAAGAAGTTGTGTCAAACCGGCCTAAAAATTTCAGATTTTTCCTGATTAGCGATTGTTGCCAAGAACACAAAAGCAATGATAGCTTTTCAACAAATTTATCAGGACCTGCCAGGTTTCTGGTTCATTGGATACATGAGACTAAAACTGGGCAGAACAAAACAAGTCTACCCTTGAGCAAACGAAAATTTCAAGGCCAAGTGCACAAAAGCTAGAGCTAGCTAGTGGCAGCCAGAAAGCCAGAAAGGGCAAGCGCACAAGCCCGCACCAGTTCGAGAGCGAGGCCGGATTAAAGATGTCAGCTGAGTACAACACCACCAAGCTGCTCCTAAACCAAATCAATTATGTTCGCGTGCGTGTGGCAAATTGCTGTCTGATCGAAACAAACACCCGCACCACCCCATTAGACCATCTCCTTCTTGGTTTGCTCGCCAGCCACCTAAGACTCACAGGTCAAACACCCTGCAGGCTGCAGTCTGCTTAGGCGTCGGCACAGCAGTACAACATCCTTGGAGCCGCCTTCATTCGGATCGGCGTAATGCAGGTAACACATATCTATATATGTTGCCGCGGCAGAGAAGGAAGAACAAGTCGCATCACTAGTACTCAAAGTTCATGGCCTGCACACTTTGGACTTCAGATGCCACCAACTGGCATCATCCCTTCAGCTGCACAAGTTACAGAGAGAACCCATCAGCCCAAAATCAGAGGACGTTAAGAAAAAAGCAGAGGACAAGAAATATGACAGGTATTTTGCATACCCCGAGCTCCATCTCGTGCACAACGAGCAGACAACACCATTAGATTCATGACCACTTACTACTCAATAGACATGACAACAATCATGTCATAACAAACTACCACTCTGAATTCAAGACCATATTAATATTAGCAGAGAGTACAGACATCTAGCAGCTGATTGATCATACCAGGGGCTGAAATAACAAGTCGTTAATTATACCCAACCATACCTCACGCAATTTCAGAGACTTCAACACGCACAAAAAAGAGGTTTATCATGATTCAAGTCTCAAGTATTACTGTCAGACACCGCAAGTGAAAAGTGGGCCTCAATCAGTACAGATTATCGATGCCTCAGTGTGCTGCTTCAACAAACAACAACCCTAGTCATGACCGATTTAGCATGCACTGTAGTGTGGATAACAAGCTGAGAACTATCCAGACTGAAATGGATGAAATGTGGCCAAACCACATGTATCGAGGCACATACATATTGGTATTAACATAAGAAAAACACATTCCTCAGAGTGTCTGTCATAAGAAATCTTTGTCAGACTAAACGCACCAAGTTAAGAAGTAAATCCTAATTGGTCGTTCTGGAGACCATGTCATTCTAGTCTATAAAGATCTCATATAAAAGGGAAAATAGCAAGGCCAAGCAACTCATTCAGAAAGTCACTGGGTCATCCAGTACACCGCGTCAGGCTTGTGACCCACTACCTCAAACGCCCTTGCAGCATCTGCAAGCCGTCCTTGCCTCACATACATGTGGACCACCTCAGACACGGCGAACTGGTCAGTTTCCACGCCGTGCATGATGGCGTTGACATGCAATTGCTGGCCGTAGCACATGTGGTTCTCTTATTCTGCGCATACCGCGGGGATAGTCGACAAGGGAGTAAATAGCATAAAACTACTACTTTACAGGTTAGAGTTCCAAAAAGTTACTGGATATTTTTTTCTCAAATAACTATCAATTCAGGGGTCGGCTGTTTCAAAAAACCCAAATTCTTCGTTGCTAACATTTTAAACCGGTTTATGACAGGTCAGGCCCGCTCCTAAACAATCCGTTTGTTGACTGTTTTATTTGACCGTTAACTTACTGTGGGATCCACATGTAAGATGTTTCTTCTTCCTCCATTCTCTCCTCTCTCTCTCTCTTCTCTCCTCCTTGCCCAAGCTCCAGCACCTCCACCACTCACCGACGACCACCTCCACCACGCGGCCGCGCCCAGGAGCAAGGCGAGCAAGGGCCGCCACAAGCCGCGAGCGCCGGGAGCCGCGCAGGAGCAAGGAGAGGGCCGCCGCGCGCCATGGCGAGGGTTCAGGCCGACGCGCCCAGGAGCACGCGCTGCCGCGAGCTGAGCGTCATGGCCAGGGGCTCGGGCTCGGGCCGCCGCGCCCAGGAAGAGGGAGGAGAGAGAGAGGCCGCTCGCGTGGGACTTCACGGCGGTTCCAGCCGCGAGCGCCGGGAGCAGCGCAGGCTCCGACCGCGCGCCATGGCCACGAGCAGCGGCAGCGGTCGGCCGCCTCGCCTCGCGCCTCGCTGGTACGGGCCAAGGAGCACGGGCCTCCACCAGCCGCGCCATGGCCAAGGGCTCCGACCGCGCGCCATGGCCACGAGCAGCTGCAGCAGTCGGCCGCCTCCTTTCGCCTGCCAGCGACCTGGCGGCCGGCGAGCCGCCGGCGTCGTTTCCTCCGGGCGCACAAGTTGCCAGGGGCCCGATTGCTTTTTCGAAAAACATTTAGGGACCCGATTGCTTTTTTTAGAGAACTTACAGGGGTTTTCTCTAAATGCGTAAAGGAACAGATTTTTTTTAATTTAGAATAACAAAGGGACACTGACATGTGGGCTCCACATGTAAGGTAACGGTCAAACTGACGGTCACACAAACGGTTTTCTTACATGCGGGTCCTAACTGTCATAATCACGATCAATAGTAAAGCACTGGACGATTAGAGTTTTTTGAAACAGCCGACCTCTGATTTGGTAGTTATCAGAGAAAAAAAATATTCGGTAGTTTTTTGGAACCCTAACCTGTAAAGTAGTAGTTTTATCTTATTTACTCGTCGACAGGGAGAAGCTACTCCTGGCAACTCCGGAGGACATCATGTCCCTGAAGACGTAGATGGCCTCGTCCAGTCGGTTGTCTTGGTGGCACGCTGTCGATGAAACTAGTCCATGCTGCTTCGGGCACTGGCTCCTGCGAAGAACACCTCATCGTGTGAAGCACTTGCCGCGCACTGTCCTGCCGGGCGGAGAGAACAGCGCTCCGCGCGCCTCTATCGCTGGGCTGCAGACCTCGCCGGGCGTAAGCTGCCTCCGTTGCCGGAGCAACTGGATGCAGTGATCCGTCGTTGTAGAGTACATTTCTTTTCACCAATTAGCACATACTCCCTCCATAAAGAAATATAAGAGCGTTTAGACCATTACTTTAATGATCTAAATACTCTTATATTTTTTTACAGGAGTAACAATTAATGACTTTACCCAAAACTCATTTGCTAATTTATTCATAGCAAAGCTGGACCGGCCAGCCATTGGAATTAATTATTAACGTCGAAAACTTTGCTTTACTGTCAGGTGTCAAAAAAAAAAAACTTTGCTTTACTGTTGGTCCAGATCTAATCTCGTTCTTTGCACGAATATAAGCATATAATTTACTGCCAAGAGGGGACCAGGCTTTGTTAGTTGAAATCAAAGGAGCTATTTAGCCTGCTTTTCTTTTCCTTTTGAACACGACCTCTTCAGCTTGCTGATACACATACTCCCAAGTTAAGTAGTATTGGATTGCAGCTGCTCTTTAGTTCTTCCTGCGCTATTCCTCTCCTTGCAGAAGTCTAAGAGGAACATCTACTTCAGGGTAAGATCGGTAAGATCAATCATTGAGTTCACAGGAGCACACTATTTTCATTCCATTTTCAGTTTACCTTTCTGCATGGATAGTCTGTGGAACGGTGCAGCTAGGTAGTACAGTATCATCTTCTTCCAAAACATTTACCATAATGTGGAGAGCTGATCGTCTTCCTTCATCCACCATATGCAGGCGCCAGCCATGTCATGTTGGGATAAGTTCGGTGGAGGGTCACGTAAGAAGCTTGTTGAGGACAGTCGTTGGACAGAAGTAGACATAGCCAACAGTTACGCCCTGTTCATGGGCTACCTGTCCATGGCCGTCAAAGGTCTTGGTTTCCTGGTGCTTACTTGGACCACCGTCGTTCTTCTTGGCGGTTTCATTGGCGACCTGCACAACAATGATTTTTGGTGTCTTGCATTCATTACCCTTGCGCAGACGGCTGGGTTAGTGCCTGCTTGTTACTTCTGCCTAATTTTTCTTAATTCCTGTTTCTGAATAATGGTATTTTGTTGCTCTGTATTTTTTTCCGTACAAAGTAATTTGTCTTGTCAAAACTTATCTTGTCACTATCTAACTTGGAGGTATATATGAACAACAGGATCTTCGATGTGTTTCTGACTGAAAAGGTGAGCTATATTGGAGATGCATTTTCTGGCATCGCATATGTTGCATACGCCGGAATGTCGTACAACATATGGCGAACTGTTCATGCTCTGGTCTTTGTCATTTTGTTGTGCCCTCTGGTGGCTGTCTACATGGGTGGGTTGGTAGTTTCGGCCGTGCTTTCGGTGTGGCGTCTTATACAACAAGATTACCATGCTGACGGAGTCAGAAACCTGAAGAAGGCGCTGGTCGTCTTGTATTCCCTTGTCCTGCTCCAGGGTGTGATTTTCTGCTACAAGATCATCAATGGTTGGGCAAAGGGGTCTATAGTGAATGCAGTAGTTGACCAAAGAGGCTTTGATAAGGATTTTCGTGATGGGATATCGGATTACATACGTGAAACAATGATCGGATGTGAAAAGGACCCATCTTCCGTTAAAGGAAGGAACCTCATCACATATGCTGTGGGCCTGATGGAGTCTAAGTTGCCTGACGACTACATTTCCGGGGTAAGGATCCTGGACGCTTTCGCCAAAAAACTGGAGGAAGCAGTGAAAGAGGTCAATGGGGTAGACGACCCACACCAATACACAGGGGAGAATATACTCAAGAAACATCTGATAATGTCTGCACCCTCTCCTGATATAGTCCAGAAGCTACTGCAGACGTTGGGCCACATAAGCATATATGACAGAGAGACGAGGGGGCATGCCGCAAGGGTAGTGGCGAGCATTGCTCGCGACATCCATTTGGAGAAATATCCAAAGGCAATTGGCTACATATCTTCCCTCCTTGACACATACGAAGAATACAGTACTCTCCAGCCATATAGGGGAGACTGGCTATACGAGACATATGAACAAGATTTCAAGCAAATATCCTTGCCGGTGAACCAAGATGACATCGTTGAGCAAGGGGACTATGATGTTGGCCTTGCGAAAACCTGCAAGAAGCTGCTGGAGGTTGAGAGAAGTGACCATGACCTTGTGCAGGCGTACAAAAGGCTGGTGGAGCAAGGCTTTCGCATCCTTCGGAAGCTCGCAGCCAACAATGACAACTGCAGAGTCATTTTCAGCACCCCATTTCTGCTGCCAAAGATTATGGCGCCTGTGACCTCCGACCTACTCCACCACCGCAATGAGGATGGCCGCATGAAGCACATTGACAATGCTGCATGTTACAGCATAGTAGAAGGTTCAATGAAGGTGATTGCCCAGCTCACGGCTGCTACAGGGCAGATAGGCACCAAGCTGCGTGATGAAATCTCATGCAGTATGGGATTGATCACAGCCATGAGGATGATTCTCGAGTGTAAAGAATGCAATGAAATGCTGCAGAAAATAGCTATTTGGATTCTCACACACGTACACCAGGATGAAAATTCCAGTCCAGAGCATGAAGGGACACAAGAATTCATTACGATGTTGGTTGACATCATGACCCATGATAAAAAGTACAAGGAGGCTAGAAGGGTGGTAGCAGCTAAAGCGCTGGTGGCTCTATCATCCGAAACCAGTAGTGCCAGGATTATCATTAAGTCAAATAACAATGTTATTCACAGTCTGACTAGACTGATTGTTGAAAAACAAAGATGCTCACAAATGGCAGCTGAAATCCTGGAAAATGTATGCATTCATTGCAACGGTGATGTTCAAAGCCTCAAAACGCTGAAGGAAGCTATGCCCATTGCGGTTCCAAAGGTAACTTACTGCCATTTGTTTTATTCTTGTATTAACTATCGACCACAATGCTTAATTACCAGTTGTATTCTAGAAAATACTGAATTGCCGGTTACCAAAAATATGGAATTCCCTTCTGACATTGTATTGGCGGATATATGTATCAATATTCTAACGCCGCCAGGGATTCCCTCTTATTTCGAAAAAAATATACAAGTATTCTAGGATTGCATAGTGTAGGTAAATATGTTCCTTTCAGTGTCATGCCTGTCCGGCAAGTTAGAGGATGTTATTAATGATAATTGTACACATTCTTGCTTAACGAATGACAAGCAATGCGCTTGCATGCTTTCGGAAAACTATCATAGATGGTGTGATTCTGCTTTTAACTATTGCCTCCTGAAACCCAAAAATATTGTTTCCATTGCAGCTGCTTGAAGAAATACTTTTCTGGCCAACAGAAGAAAGACATATAGAAGGAACAGAAGTTAATCGGCTGATACCAGAACCCGAAGTAGAAAACCAATGTGATGATTCCCCAGATAATGGCCAGGCAAACAACAACTCGTTGTCCGCTCAGCAGCAAGGGTACAGCTCGTTTCGCATGTTATCTCGTTGCATCACAATATGGGGTGCGTTGATAAGTGCAGATCAGGACTTGACAGATCTATTTACGGAAATCCCCCCTGGAGGCGGTGGAATTAGCTTCGTGATGAAGCTCAAAGAGATCGTTGAAAAACATGAGCTCCCCAGACCCGTCTGCCTGAGAATAAGGAAGCTTGTCTGTAAGATGGTCATATCTATGATGAATCCCAAAGGCAGTTATGTCAATGATGGGCTGACGAGCTTGATGGCTGCACTGTCCAGTGCTTCAGATGACATGTCTATTCTTGATGGCTACATGGTTTTTGGACCAAGGCCTTTTAGAAGTCTTGCTTCCCTCGTGGAAGAAGCGCAGGTGCTTGTGGACAGAAACAAAGAGCTTTTCCAGAGCCAAACCCATGCTTCAAGCTAGTGGTAGTGGAAAGGGTGGTGGCAAAAGCGCAGGTACATGTGAACAAAGAGCTTTTCCAGGGCCAAGCCCATGCTTGTACTAGTGGAGAGGGTGGTGGTGCGAAGGTTGCCAGCGATCTTTTGTTCAGTTGCTCTGTTTAATTAGCAGGCGGCTAGGGATGGCCTGGCTCTTTACTTATGCTTCCCTTTCTGTCATACTAAAGGAGTGCTCTTTTCTTCTTTTCTTTTGATGGATAAAAAGTGTTTCTTTTGGTTGTAAACATTTTTCTGGGTTGTGTAAAAGAGCGAAGCTTTATAAAGCTGAGCTGTATGCCTTATGGGCTTTTAAATTGAGACTTATCATTGTGGGAACCGTGCTTGAACGGGAGAAACTAATTGGGGGGCACCCTCTGCGGAGGTTACTCTCTATGTCCGCGGAAGCGCTTCAGCGGCTCCACGTGGTGCACCCCAGCTCCGCCATGTATCGCATGATGGACGCTTCCCCCATAGGGACAGTATTTTTCGTTACTTTGGGTTTTTTCCCTCAGTTTTCATGTTTTTTCCAGTTTTTTTGTTTCTCATTTTTTATTTTCAGTTTTCCCTGGGTTTATTTTGTTTCTCTTGTTTTCTTCAGTTTTTATCTGACAGGAGCATGTGTGTGTAGTGCTTTCGCGTGGAGCACAGGTTAGTGTTTCCGCCTGGCAGAGAGCACAGCTGTGCTTCGCGCAGGAGCACAGTTGTGCTTCCTTGGGAAGCACAATTTAGATTGTGTTGGGAGTACAGTTTAGTTTATCTTGGGAGCACAGTTTTGCTTCACCGGACGGGAGCACAATTAGTATACTTGGGAGGACATTTGTGCTTCTCCTCTACGATTTAGCGCTAGTTGAGAGCACAGTTTAGTTACACTGGAAGCACAAGTTACTACTAGTTGGGAGCACAGATTTGCATGATTCTTTTTTTTACTGAAACCTATCATCATGAAATCTAGTTTCAAAGATCTCGGCATATGAAACGCAAAGGCGAAAACAGTTCATGATTTGGGCACAGATTAAAGAGATAAAACGTTTTGAAAAAATGAATCGACAAAAAAAGGCACAAACAGTGAACCTCCCGTCCTCACGCCGGGGTGAGACAAACCCATCAAACTCTCTAGTTGCGACAAGTGGCAGACCACATAGTGTTGGGGAGCTAACCCTCTCTCCTGCCACTCCAGTGGCAGCAGCCACCCACTCTTGTGTTGAAGATCGTCGAAACGTCTTACTCCCTGTGGGAGGCCGCGTGTATAGATGATCTTACATCTGGAGGTACTTGTCCCACAAATCTGCGGCCGTGCCATAGGCAAGTATCCTCATTGCAGCCGTGCACTTCTAGTAACCAGAAACCCAGTGGTTCCAATGGCATCCTTCATGATGAGGACCATCAATGGTAGATGCGATTGAACACTTGTCGTTGCATCCGAAATCGATGGCAGAAATATGGCTTGTAGTTGAGAACATGCTCCTCCCACGCACCACCGTGTTTGCAAGAACCGCCCTAAGTTGTTTCATCCTCATATTCCTCCTCCTCATCCAACAAAGACGACTCCATGAACTCGTTGTGGAAGTACTCGTCTGAATCCATCGTGTTTGCTTCAAAGTAAACAAGAACCTCAAAAAAGTTGGCAATGGCATTTGACCAAACACTGTCGGGCGTGGTTTCTGCCATGGACGGCGGCGGCAGGTAGCAGAGGATACCCGGGTTGCGGCCGGATCCAGAGTGGAATGGCAGCAATGTCCAACACGAGAAGGCACCTGGGTGGAGTGACATAGGTCCGACGAGGCCTGGGCAACGGCCAGGTTGGTACAATAGTGGCGTCGGTCACCGAGGAAGCGGATGCAGAGCACATGTGGGGGACTCCCCTACATTTGATTCAGGTTTGTGGGATTTCAGACATCCAGACCAATCCAGACAAATTTGATGACCGCCAGGTGGATGAAAAAACCAAACATTTGCGGGCAATTTGGTGATCGGTGTTAGAGTTGCCGTAAGAAGTGTCGCACAACAACGCATAGGTGTGGCGACGCTATGTAGTAGTGTCCTTTATTGTTTAATTAATCTATTTAACCGATCTAAAAAG